GCTTTGGCGCGGCTGTGGAATCTCTGGTCCAGCGCAATCTTCCGAGCAGCGTCGTTGTCGCCTCGTATCGGAGTTGGACCCGACGGAGGTTCACCCAGGCCGGTGAGCAGGCTCCTCAGCCAGCAAGCTTCATGTGCAGCCTCAGCCGAAGCCACGTATTCGGACTCCATCGATGACCCAGCGACCAGCTTCTGCTTCCGGGACGACCACGATATCACGCCAGATCCGAGCATGAAGCCGTACCCCATGACCGACTTGCGAGTGTCTGGATCATTGGCGTAATCCGCATCCGAGTAACCCGACAGGCGAACGTCATCACCGCCAAGACGCAGCGAGTATTCTCGTGTCGACTTCAGGTACTTCACAACGCCGTATCGCCGCAAGCCAGTGAGCCTCCCTATAGCAGTCCAGGAAGCGAGCTAAGTGGCAGACGGCGTAGGCCACGTCCGGGCGTGTACCCATGGCCACATACATGAGGCTGCCGACAAGAGAACGGTAGGGTAGTTTGGCCAGGCGCGCGGATTCCTCGGCAGACGGGGGAGACTCGGGTCGAACAAGACATAGCTTGGGTTCCATGGGCGTGTGCACAGCGTGTGCATCTCCCTGGCCAAACTGAACGACAATCCTGTCGATCAGGGCCGTCTGTGATATGCTAATCATCCTCCGTTCTGGGTCACGCACAATGGCGATCCCCAAGCAGAATGACGCGGATCCCAGATCGGAGATTTCCCACTTGGAACGGAGCTCGGTCTTGAAGAGGTCGTTCGCAGCCGGATTGGTCGCAGCCGAAAGCATGTCGTCAACGTGTAACAACGACAATCGTGACGTCGCTACCCCGTTTGCGGTAGTACACACACCATTCGCAGCGTAGTCGGGTGAAGCCCCAAGAAATCATAGCTTCATTGAACGTGCGGTTCCACCAGCGCCCAGCTTGGTGAAGTCCATACACGCTCTTCTTCAGTCGCATGAGCCAGTTCTCCTTGCCCGGTTCTTCGTGTCCCTTCGGGCTGACGGCAGTACTGTTGTTCATCGACAGGTAACGGCGCGTTCAAGAATGCCGTCTTGACGTCGATCTGCTGCAGGTCCATCCCACGTGCTGCCGCCAGATGCAATACCGCGCCGAAAAGACTCGAGGCGAGCAGTTGGGGAGGTCGTGTCAGTGTAGTCGCGCCCGAAGACCTGCCGGCTACCCAAAATGCAGTACCGCACCTTATGCCGCACGACCACATTAGCCATATCACGCTTCCGCAAGTAGATCGGCCAGAGATCGAGAACTGTCTTGCCAACCGGAGCGGTCCCTGGCGGTATGAGGTCGTACACGCCCAATCTCTTCCACGAGTCCATTTCTTCCACCTCCCCATTCACCCACAGGTCGGCATCCACATCTGCCAGCGCCTCCTTCCGAGACTTCGGGTCATTCGGAAACTCGATGTTAATCGGTCCATCGTCCACGCTGGCGTTGAGGGCCTCGAGCATCGCCGCCTCAGTCCCGTCGTCGTCCTCCGGCGTCGACGCGATAATACCCTCCCGCTCCTGCACGAGCGAGAAGTCCTCGTCCTCGGCGTCTACCCCTGCGACAGCGGCATGAGCATTGCCAGCAAGCCGTGCGGACCGTCGAGGTCCCTCGGCAGTCAACTCGTCGGACGGGAGAGCCACTCCAGCGTCTTGCGGCACAGGCGAGGAGGTCAGAGGTTGACGAGTCGCCCGTTTCGTCATTCGGCACCCCCGACTCCGGACTTGGCTCTTCCAAGGACAGTTCCGCCAGCCTGCGGCGCATCACATCGCGATTGATTTTCAGAGGCACTGTTTGTGAGCTCTCGATAAATCTCACGTGAATGGAATCGTAGACCTTGCCGGAAGACCTTTCCCAACAGCGGTACGACTTGGCTCGAGGCGTGTAACCGATAAGTACACACTCCAGAGAACGAGCAAAAAGTTTGGGGTTGTGCCCCGGAATTAACACAAACGCCCGGCAACCAATTTCGCGCAAATGCGACAGATTGGGCTTCTGCTGGTGGTAGCATTCGAAAGGCGTTCGCCCGCCCTGAGAACGTGAAGGGGTGCGAGCATGCAAATAAGCGGCGGTGACATAGAACTCGTCCCAGAGGTTGGGCGGAGCTCCGCAGGCAATACGCATAGCGCGTGCCTTGTTGTGGATGGTCTCGTGAAAGCGTTCGACTTTACCGTTCTGCGCCGACGTCTCCCGTGACGTAAAACGCAGTTGGGTCCCGCGAGCGGCGCACCAGTCACCAAACTCAGTGCTCTTCAGCTCCCCGTTATCCATATTGATCTCCACCACTTTCTCTCCGGACTCCGTCTCGACAGCCAAAATCCAAAGTTGCATAAATTTGCAAGCGCTAGCCTTCGACGGGAGGGGGATGCACCACCCGTGCGAGGTAGCGTCGTCTACAACATTCATCACGTATTCATTTCCACTCCGCGACTTCACACTGAACGGACCACTCAAGTCCACAAAGACTTTTCTCAACCTCGTCGTCGACTTATCTCCCTCCCTCTCCTTCGGAATGGACGCGCGGACCTGTTTCCCGAGAATGCATGCGTCACAAGGTGTAGCAACAGGAGAGGGAAGGAGGACCATACCGGTGGCCCCCCCGGACTGGAAGAGGTCAAGACATGCCTGAGGGTGAGCGTGTCCCAAGCGACGATGCCAGGAATCTACATCGCGCGCTGTAGCGGAGCCAGCAAAGGAGGATGAGGGGACCGCGAGTTTGCAGTCAAGGCGGTACAAGTTGCGCGTCTTGTCGATATTCCCAGAGCAGACACGCGCCCCGTCGTGGTTCGTAATCCAGACACGTTCGGCATCGAAGTGGCAGGCCAGATCGAGGTCCTTGCAAAGTCGACTGACGGAGATGAGGCGCACAGATGCCTTCGGGACATAGAGCGCGTTCGTGATGGTGAATCGGTCTGTAGCGATCGACCCAATTCCCACAGCATCGATGGAAGAACCCTGGAATCCCTTGATGGAATGCGGAGCGATTGGGAGTAGGTCGACAAAGTCCTCCTCGAACGGCGAGATGTGAACGTTAGCGCCTGAGTCAGGAAACACGACGAATGAACTGCTCGACGCCATGTTCGCCTGCAGCGTCGCCCAGCCTAACGGCACAAAGGCATCGGCTAGCACCGCATGGGTCTCCGCCAGGTAGAGCGGGTCAATCTTCGCGGGCAGAGAGTCAGATTGGAGGTTGATGAAATTTGCCGTGGGCAGAGCTCTAGGAGGCGCCGGGTTTGGCGAAGGAGTTGGCCAAACGTAGTAGTCGGTACCCGCCACAGTCAAGTAAGCCTTGCCATTTGCGTCATGCTTGAATAAACTCGTCGAATGTGTGCCTTTCGTTTGCCCGTTCCCACGTCCAGCATTCCTCTTCCTGTCGGCCTCCCTCGCCGCACGAGCGTCGGCCACAGACTTCCCGGCCATAGTTGGCCAAACGTAGTAGTCGGTACCCGCCACAGTCAAGTAAGCCTTGCCATTTGCGTCATGCTTGAATAAACTCGTCGAATGTGTGCCTTTCGTTTGCCCGTTCCCACGTCCAGCATTCCTCTTCCTGTCGGCCTCCCTCGCCGCACGAGCGTCAGCCACAGACTTCCCGGCCATACCCCCGCCTTCAGCCACGCAGTACTCGGACGTATGCGTCTCGCGGCTGGTGCAGGCTTTGACGGTGCATATGTCGCGACGACGGCCACCCCCCGTGGCTGCAAAGGCTAGTGTTGTAGGGGCAGGAGCAGTAGCCTTGTCCACAATGGCCTTCTCGACGTCCTCGGCGGACAGGGTAGGGCGCGCAAGCATACCATTGACCAGGTCGCCATGATTGGCAGACAGAGCGCCGACGAGAAGTGCCGTCAAGAAGCTCTCGGCAGTAGGAGCGCCCCCGGCCCATATGACCTTGTTCCAAGCCTTAAGCTGCTCCGTCGTGCGCTCAAAAGACGCGGCGTCAGCTGAGTAGGAGAGCTCGAACGCCGCCTTCAGAGCCTTGACTTGGTTCAACGGGCCACGGTGGACATGGCGAACGCGCAAAGCTTGCCAGATCGCAGAGGCAGACTCGTGCGCCTCGACAGCGTCTCGCTCGGTACTCGACAGGACCGAGAGGATAAACGAGCGTACAACTGTGTTGTTGTCAGTCCAAGTGGCGACGGCAGCAGGGTTGAGCAAGTCAGGCGTGTGGGCGGGGTCGAGAAAACGCGTAGCTCCGGCGTGCAGGCCAAGATTGCGCTCCACGCGCCCTGACCATGCCGCCCAGTTACCCTTCGAGAGCGAGAGGAAGTCTTCTTCGGACCAGTTGGAGATTGTGATAGAGAAAGGTCGAGCGAGAGGCGGCGAGGCGGGAAAGGCATGATGGGGGATGGTCTGGAACAATGGCGAGAAGTGGGGAGAGGCATACGAGTTGGCATGAGGAAATGTGGGGACATATGGCAACGGTTCAGCAAACGCGGCTCGCCCGAGCGAGGGCACGGACGACATGGACATAAACGGGTTGTTGAAGGATTGGCGAGGAATGGGAGGAGTCTGCGGGGTACGCAAAGCCACGCGCGAGTCTCGCCAACGGCGAGCTGTCGCCATAGGCGTCAAGGAAGGGGTTTGAAGGGCGCGAGAACATGGTATCGCGGTTTGGCGAAGAAGAGGCAAGTGCAGCGAGAGTTGATACGAGAGCGGAGGAAGCGTCGTGAGGTACAGGGATCGAGCGTCTTCAAACGCAAAGGCCCATAACCTGTTGATCCTGTACACAGTCAGCTCTAGGCCGCTCACTGTTCGGGAGAAGAACGAGTCGTATTACCTGTACACAGTCAGCTCTAGGCCGCTGTAGCACAGTCAGTACACGATGAAATACAAGTCGCGTCGCACATACCTCACTGTTCGGGAGAAGAACGAGTGAGGCAGTGCAACGGATCACTAGCTATTTATGCGTCCGCTCCGTCGCCCTGATCCGCGGATCGACAAGACGGTGTGAATTTCCTTCTCCAAGCGGGCCCGCACTTCTTCGATGTTCTCAGGAATCACTGCGTACTCCTTTTTTCGCTGCGTCGATGAACTCGCGCATGAGCTGTGCCGTGGTACTCCCCGCGAGTGGAGGGTGATTATGGGTAAGCAGCACCTCGGCCCCACTAGGCGGCGTGGCGCTTTGCAACGCGTCAGACAAGGGGCAGCCAGACGAAGCAGTCGCACTTACCGCAACGTCGTCATGGGAAGAAGAGAAAAGGTTAAGCGATGGCTGTGTACTGTCACAGGTTCTGTCATGTGATGTGATCAATCCTTGGTTCCATCGTTGGCCTTACTGGTTAACGAGACACAGGGACTCAATATGAATAAATAGCGGGCTCAAATTGACACAATGCCTGCCTCCTCCGCCAATATCTGCATCCCCAAGTGCTTGCTCATGAACCGCACCTGCTGGAACGCCCCCAGCGCAAACCACAGCCCTCTTCGTCCCGTCGGCCGAAACGCGCGGCGCATCTCGCCCCTCCGCATCCATGCCCCAGACCGGCGCGTCGGCCGGCCACGCGCCGAGGATGTCCGCGTACCGCTCGGTCAGCGCGCCGTAGCCCGTGCTAGAAGCAGAAAAGATGATGAGTGTGAGTGGATGGATGTGAAGCGGGTGCACCCACGCAAGCACGACGACGTCTGCTTCAATCTTGGACCCATCCGCGAAGACGACGGCGTCCCGCTCAAAATGCGTGATATCGACGCCCTGCTTCACCTGCAAAATTGCAAAGAATCAGTGCATGCCACGTGAAATTCGTATAAAGCCCACCTTGACCTTGCCGTCGATGATGAGCTGGGCACAACCCATATCGAGTACTGTACAGTCGTCAATCGAAACTCCGCCTTCATCATGGATCACGGCATACATGTTCCCGATGCGACTCTCTACGAACACAATCTCATCAGCTTCCCCGATAAGTCTTTCAATGAACCCACTCACATCGAACAAAAAACCAATCAACCCCGACTCCCCGCCGCCCGGGGTGACTAAGGCTTGGTTTTATAAAATTTTTGGCCTTAACAAACGGTTTGTAAAAAAATCTCCCCAAAACCCTGTTTATAAACCGGTTTTTAGGTTTTATAAACACTTCAGGCTAACAAGCCCAACTGCGCCTCGCGCCATATGATTTTCATATATTTGTCAAGCTGAAATACTACTAATAGTAGTCCCAGGTGAGGCCCAGAAGTTTCCCTTCAATATCTACTATCTCAGCTAAATTTTATGTGGTAGAATACTTTTGATGGCAGAGATGTCACATGTTGGCTGACGGTCACACTAGTGTCACATTGTTTACAAACACCCTCTTCCCAGAATACCTGTTTATAAACATATAAAACAGGGGTGTTTATAAACCGGTTTACAAACACCCCTATATAAACCAAGCCCTAGGGGTGACCTCCCACTTCAGCTTCATCCCCGCCCTCTCCAAACCATCCAGCATTTCCCGGTCCATCGCCTTCAGTCGCTGCGTGATCCCAGGCGCGCGCTCGAGTACCAGCGCCGGCGGAGTCGAATTGTTCACCAGGTCCGCGTCGGGCGGCGGTATAGTGCGCGGGGTACCCTGGCCGAAAAAGAAGCGTTTCCGCCGAACGTGCGGAGAGGACGCAGGTTGCGCTGCGCTGGACCATCGTCACCTTCGAGGAGTTCATGATACATGCAATATAAATGAATGAATGAGAAGACTGACCTCTGCGGCGCCTTTGGCAACGAAATCCTGGCACATATCTGCCCCAGAGTTACACTGTACCACGTATTAGTCTTCTCGATGGCTCAATACGCGCAACACCTACCGCGCCGATAACAACAACCCGCTTGCCCTTGGACGGCGCTGCACTTTTATGGCCGTCCGAATGGTACACCGGGCCATGGAAGTCCGTCATACCCGGCCAGTGTGGAATCTTCGGCTTGCCAACGGTGCCCGTGGCGAGCACGATATGGCGCGGGGAGAGCGATACGGCTTCGCCCGCGCGGCTTAGCCTCACTTGCCAGCGAGCGGTGATGTCGGCGAACACAGGCGGGGCGACAATTTCGGTGGAGGTCCAGACAGCGAGCTCTTGCGCGACCGCATAGCCCTCGAAGAAGTCCCCAATCTTCTGCTTCGGGAGGAACTTGGGAAATGTCGTCGGCCAGGGTTGGTACAGCACTGACGAATGTAAGGTCAAAAGCGAAGAGCTATTGCAATTGAAGACACACTATACGAGTGGTAGCCGGTGACGCACCTGACACGGGGGCGGTACCAGGAAAGTCACGGGGAGTGACTTCCGTGATGGGACGCGACGCGCGACGCGTCCAAAGACGCGTCAAGTCAGAGGAGTGAGGTGGAGGCAGTGAGCGGGTGCCGTAGTATCCGCAGTAGTGCCGCAGCGAGAGGGCAAGGCGACGGGCGACACGCGCAGTGTGCGCAGCAGCAACGGGCGAGGCGGTGTTGGCGACGAGCTGGGCGATGCAGGCAACGGGCGGGGCAGTGGCGGAGACGGAGGCGGTGGACCGGCAACGGTTGCCGGCTGCGGATTGATGCCAAGCCCGCCGGCGATCTATAAATTTAGCTCATATGTCAGTAGATAGACAGTGAATCCGTTGTGATTGCACTCACTGGCTGATTATCAAAGGATAAGGCCTCCAGGAAACGACTACGAAACGGCCTGCTTACCAAAGGGTAGGGGCAACCACGAAACGGCCTGATTATCAAAGGATAAGGGCACCCACGACAACGATAACGATAACGATAACGACCCCGCCGATCCGGGGTAACTGTATTAAGAAGCGCCAAGACTTTCGATTGACACCGGACCCGATAACGCCGTCGGTCCGACTTTAATTCAGCACTACCGACTACACTCTCCACGACCCTTGCCGCCGGATTGGACTACTACTATATCAACACTACTCTACAACTCTTGTACCGACTATTACCAGGTTGCAACTATCATATACTTTGATAGGAGCCCCCGAACTTGCGCGCGTCATCATACGGACTGAAGAACATTGTTATTTGATTGGAACTAGCTATTGGTTTGGGTGTTTTGTGTTGTGTTGAGGGTTGTAGCTGAGTCTAGCCCTTCCTCCTTCCCCATCACCCATCACCTGTTCTCATCATCTCCCACCCCACCCTGCGGACGTATTTCGAGCGTTTCATCTGGAGCCCACCGCGAGGGGGTTCATCTGGAAATTATCAACAAGAAATTATATTGTGTTGAACACATATAACCACGACTACAAGACTATCTGCCGCGGATATCGCAAGACAATTGGAACGAGACAAGACACGTGACCGCGCAGAGCGTTGGACAAGATTACGTAACACACAAGACATATTTGGACATACACCACCAAGCACAACACAGACACTTGAGGTTGCTGAAGAAGACTCCTTTGAAATTGAAGAGCACATATTGACTGTGCTGCCCTCAATTGTTGAAGAACCAAACATAGAAGAAGAGCAGGACTTTGAACAAGGATCTGGAGACTATCACCACTGGGAACCATTGATTGGTAACAGGAACACAGCCACTCCTCCCTTAAACATATCAGCATCAACAAGCAACTCACAAGAGGTGGAGCAAAAGGAAAGAGTTGGAGCTTGGGTTGAATTATTGGCATCAGCACTTAGGCCAGACCCAGAGGAGATCCCTGAAGGAACACCAGAGGAGGAGCCTAAACAAGAGGAGCAAGAGCAGGACCTTGGAGAACAAGACTTTGAGCAGGCTTTAGGTCTAGACTATCAGAACCAGGACAACTACCATAATTGGGACAACCAACTGCCATACACAGTACCCATACCTGGTTCACCAAGTTCAAGTTCATCCACATCCTCATCTACTGTTTCATCCAACAACAACAACCAAGTACCAATGGCTGCCAACCAGGCTAGTAATGGGACAAACTCAGCCCCATTCAAAATACCAAGACCATGGGAATCAGGAGTTCCTAGGTTCACATCAGAGGACAAAAATGATTTGATGGATTTCTTTGATCAGGTTGATGATATCATTTTCCTGGGGAAAGTCAAACAGGATCAGGAGAAGAAGACATTGATGACCAGTTACCTTTCCAACAAAAGGAAGGAGGAATGGAGACTCTTGCCAGAGTACATTGATGTGACCAAGACCTATGAGGAGTTCAAGAATGCAATCAAGAAAGTCTATCCTGAAGTGGAAGAGGACAGAATGGGCACATTGAGGGATCTGGAGGAACTATGTGACGAATATTATGGCATCCGTCACACTCAAGAGGGAAAACTTACCCGATTTGGGTTGAAGTACAAGGCCTTGATTAAGAAGCTTCAGGACAACCCTGCTATTATTCTGAACAAGGAGGCTTGCACCAGATACTTGGACACCCTGGAGAGGAGTTTTGCCAAATCTCTGAAGACTGCCATGAATACCAGGAATATTCTCAAGGAAGAATTTGCACCAGCTGCAGGAGCAGTAGTGACTGCAGACAGGAAGGAGGATCCTATCAAGCTGGAGGACCTCATCAAGTTGGCAGAGAGATATGCCAAGACTAGTGGAGGGGATGCTACTTATGATGTCAGCCCACCTGAGATCAAGAGATCAGAGAAATTCCCACGTCAAACTGGAGGAACGTGATGTCAGACTTGATGATCTGGAAGGACAGGTGTCTGGTCTGAGGGATATGGTTGATATTGGGCAGAAGCAGACTCAGTCTTCAATTGAGGAGCTGGTCAAGGCTTTCCAAAATCAGAAGAACTATCCACCACGTGACCGTGACGATCAGGATCAGCGTGACAGGGCACAGAACTCCTATGGACAACAAGACAGGGGATACAACAGTAACAGAAGTTATGGAGGAGGCATGAATAGAGGTGGAATGGGTGGTGGCAACAGTAGTACAAGTTGCTATTACTGTGGAGATACAGACCACTTTGCAAGAGATTGCCCAAGGAAACATCAACATCTGATGAAGGGTTGGATTGTGGTGGAAGATGGCAGACAGAGATTGTCTGATGGCAACATCATTCCAGCAGGACCAACACCAGCAGCACTCAGAGTTGAGGAGTATTGGCAGAGGAAGGGAGCTGCAGGACAACACTACTATGGTGATGGGCCATCAGGCATCAATGATGATGAGTTTGATCTGCTCAGGGATGAGGTTAGGACCATCCATGTCAAGCTCAGTCAGCTTGCAGATAATGGAGGACCCACTTCAAATAATGGGAGATATGCAGCTCAACCTACCTATATGGCACAGAATGCACCAGCACCAGTGGTTTCTCAACAACCACCAGCACAGACTATGGATATGGAGGCACTTGGGAGAATGGTCTTCAACATGATGAATGCACAGAATGGAGCTTCTGAGCAATTTGCACAACAGAAGAAGGCCAAGGGCAGCAGTTCACAAGGATCGGGTTTTTAGAGACCTCGATGAAGGAGGGCCAGCATCATAGGCCACCTGAGAGGGACGATATTGATGAATTAGAGGAAGATGAAGACCCAGAACCACCAAGACCAAGAGCCAAGAAGGCTAGAGTTAGCAAGGAGATGAGGGAACTGCCTTACAAGTTTGTCCAAGTTGGAGGTGGGGCTCGAACTCAGCCACCCAAACCAAGACAACCTGTGCAGGAGGACGAATACGACAACCGCGCTGGGCGCGCTTTCAAGTTGAAGGCACCCATTCAGAGGGAAGGCCTAACAGAGGAGATATTGGGCAGGATCAATGACACAGAGGTCACCATCAAACTTGGTGATTTGTTTGGGCTTAGCAAGGACTTACGCGAGCGTGAGAAAACTCGTCTCACCAGAGTCAGAGAACCAGTAGATGCAGAGGGCATGCCTGGGAGGTCCTTTGCTTCAAACACAGCACAGTTAGTGCCAGAAGAGGAAGAACTCAAGTTGGACAGTGATGCAGTGGAAATGGGAGATTTGCCAGGAGTAGCAGGAGTTTTTATTGTCAACACTGATGTGGATGGCATACCAGCTGGATCTATGGTGGCACAGGACCCTTATCTTCAATATCTTGAAGGATTGGAGGAGGATGAATCACCAAGACAGATCTATGTTGCCAGAGACTCAGAACCACTCAAGGTCACCTACCCACATATCCATGCAAATGGGCCAATTGAATGTGTTTTGGACTCTGGATCACAAATTGTCTCAATGTCATTGGAGACAGCTCAACTATGTGGTCTAATGTGGGACCCCTCAATCAACATATACATGCAGTCAGCAAATGGACAACTGGAGAAATCTATGGGATTGGCAAGGAATGTGATGTTTAGATGGGGAGAACTCAAGCTTTTCCTTCAAGTTCATGTCATAAAAGGACCAGCCTACAAAGTTCTACTGGGCAGACCTTTTGATGTCTTGACCAGGAGTAGGATGGAACATGAGGGAGAACATCAAATCTTGACTGTGACGGACCCCAACACTGGCAGAAATTGGACAGTACCCACTTTTGACAGGACCAAGAATGGACCTGCAGCACACAGGGTCAAGGAGCCTAAACCATCAGATTCTATAGAGACCAACCTAGGGGATTTTCAACAGCCTTCGATGAATTGGCAAGCATGTGCCAAGGAGAAGAAGCCGCGGTCATAATTGGCTTCAATGAAAAGGGAGAAGCAACGATCGATCAGTTATACAGACCCAATGGCGGCAAAATGGATTCAAAGAAAATAGTGGAGTCTTATCTGGCAGCATCCAAGTCAACTGCAAATTGTTTCAAGGAAGATGCAGAGGCAGCAGAATTGTTTGAGAACTATCAACAGCAGAAAGTGGAACATGTGGAGGGAGTTCCATATAAAGTCTTTGCCAATGTGGTTGCTGAACCAGTTGCCAAGTCTGGGAAGAGCTCAAATCAGACAAAAGATGGGGAAACTATGCACACAACCCATAGGATGGATGGTGTTGAGAGGTGC